GCTGCCCCTCCCGCCGGGTCCTCCTCTCGCGGGCCAATCACAGGCCCGCCCCTCCAGGCCACGCCCCGCGCCCGCGAGCCCCACCCCGAGCCCTGTGAGGACCACACCCCCAGACGCGCGGGGAGCGCCTGCTGCAGAAGCGAGGTCGGGAGTTGCACCGAGCCCCGCGGAGGCAGGCGAGTTTCACACAAGGCACCTTTCCTCTTTGCTGGCAAACTCCCCGCATCTCACCTATGGCTAACGCCAGGTGCGGTCTTCCAAACACTTCTCAGCGCCTCTTCAGCCTTTTGCTCCCTCCCACAAATACTGAACCCATTTCGGGCGAAGTATTTGGCCCCTGTTATTTCTGGTCGTAACCGGCGGAATCGTCTCCAGTTGGTCTTGCTTGAGAACTGCTCCCACATGTCTGGGAGACCACAGGTGGCGCAGCCCTCCTCTGAACCACAGAGAATGACTCGAGGCAGGGATTTTCAACCGGTGTGGCGGATCGGCAAAAAAATGTATTTTTTGGGTGTGCTGCAGTTTTAGTCACGACTTCACATGGGCCATGAGATGGGAAAGGTTGAAAATGGTTGATTTGAGGGACCACTTTCTCAGTACTCCAAAGGTTGGTGCAAAAAAACTAGTGCTATTCTAGATGCAGATGTAGTCGGTTATAACCCATGGATGCCTCCTGGCAGTGGGATTCTCTTGGTGCTGGTTAAAAAAGTGGGCTCTAGAGTTTACAGAGCCGGGTTTCTATCCCTGGCCAGCCTTACCTTACACCTTACCGAACACCTCCAAATGATAATTACCTCATCTGAAAAATGGGAAGAAAACAGTGCTACTTCACTGGGTCCTTGTCAGGGTTGATATGATTTACGCAGGCTCTCAGTATGCCAGGTAAATGGCAAATGCTTCTAGATGTTAGCTGTTGTGTGTGCCAGCTGTATAAACCCCTCAGAAACATCCACTGTCCACAGAACTGATTTTTTCTTCAGCGGGACCAGCAGTATGACCTTTGGCAAATCCTTAATCTTAGACTCAGGATTATCAGAAGGATTAAATCTGGAGTACTTAGCACTGGACTGCGGTCCGTGGCTGTGAACTCAGCAACGTTCTTTTTCTTCTCTTCCTCTGAATCTTTCCTCGTCCATGTCTTGTATCTCTAATAGTATTAATCACTATATGCTGTAGTTATTTACATGTCTATCTCACTCTAGACAAGGAGCTCTTTGGGGGTCTTGGACCAGTCTTGGGTCACAATTATATCCTGAGCTGATCACAAGTGCTTGGCACATGGCAGGTCCTTAATGTTTGTATAATGAGTGGATGAGACAGAAACACGTGCAGAACAAGAAATGGTGAACTTGTGTACGAAAAATTCTCTTTGCTGGGCTGCTTTACTCTGAGCCCAACAATCCTAAGCACAATTTTCCTTTTTGGAGGTGAGGTAGCTAAGTGTCCGCCACACAGCTAGTGGTACACACATACTAGCTGATCAAAAAATGTTTGACGGAACACCAGTAACAACATTTACTGATGACTTTGCCCTATGGAGGGGTGGATTCTCAGGGTCCCACAGCCTTTCTTTTAGGCCCCGACAGAAAGCAATATGTGGTTCCATGCAGAAAAACAATGTTGACCTTTCCTTCTGAGACTGAGGCATTGTTCTGTCCCAATGGGACTAACAAAGATAATCTAAAAAAGCTGCCCTGGTCCAACCCTGGGAGACGGGAGAAGATTGAGTCATGATGTCACAACAGAGGAGAGGGGAGACAGGATGGATGGGGACTGGGGAGGCCAACTGTCCAGGCACCAACAAGTCTGGCCAGGGCTGGTGATGTCAGGTTACCTTTTAAAGGAGAAGGCTTCTCTTTCAAACAGAAAGACAATACTTTGATTTGTTTGTCAGGTACCCTGCGGATGAATATGGTGAAGGAAAGGTCAAGAGAAGGGAGAAGAAAGAGTTGCCAAACCAAAGGACCTCTTGAGGGAACCTGGGCTCAAAAGGCATCCCTTCTAACCTATACTCTTTCCCCAACCTGAAATACCTCCAGGGAGATGTTGAGCTTCTGGTTCTGCTGAGACAACTAAGATATCACTGAGATTGGTGGCAGTTCACATTTCAGCACATGGTACAACTGTTCAAAGGTTCTTTGGAAGACCTGGAAGAAATTCTGTGCTGGGAAACCCTTCCTCCCAAAATTCTCAGGTGTGAAAAGCCTTGGAAACAAGGACCCCAGACACAACAGCCCTTTAGGTATAACACTGGGGCCTTAGCCCCATTTATTTGCATAGCCAGAGGTTCCTGCCACAAGCGGCAGCCTCAGACTGTGGGTAGCCATTTCCCTCCAGCCTGGGCAGGGCAGAGAGAGACACAGATGCAAATACATATTTCAGATTCCTCTCTGAGGTCAGCAGAAACCACTTCCTCCTGTCCTGCAATCTCTGTAAGACTAGCTCTAGAAGTCTGCTCAACTTGCACTCACACACAGAATCTGCTACGAGTTAAGCACCGAGTAGTAAGTAAAACCCATTACATACATTGTTCTTTTCATCACAAAGAAGTGTGATGTTACCCAGGAACTAGCTAGTCTTGGAGCAAGTGTACATGCTTCCTTCTTTCTGAACCATGGAAGAGACTACTTACTCCATGGCCTGACCTTTTGTCCCAGGGAGATTTGGGGGGGAGGGGGTGACCTTCCTGAGCTACAAAGATGCTGTTCCTGTAGGTACCATCATATTTTAGCTCCAGAGTAGGACAAAAGGGTGATCCTGCTAGGAAAGCAATCTAGAGCTTATAGCATTTGAGTAATGACCGGGATAACTGTCAGAAACAGGACCAGGGAACCCAGGGGACAATCAGTAGGTGAATCGCATCTTTTGTGAGTAGCCCAGTTTGTCCAGGTTGGGGTGGCAGGCCAGTTGCACCATTGGGGGAGGCCCACAGAGCAACAGCAGCACATCGTCCCCCGGGGCAGGCAGGTGCTCCTGGATCATGTCTGCAGTCACAAAGCCCTTGCTGTAGGCCCAATCTGAAGTACAGGGGAGAGGAGAGAACTGTCAATCCAGACCCAAGCTGGCAAGGGGTATAGAGCCCTGAGGTGGGGAGGGCCCAGAAAGGCTCTTGAGAAGGTGTCAAGTGTAGCAGCAGCTGGATGGCTACAGTCAGCAGCACAGCTGTTCCTGCGGCCCACCTGGTGAACAGAAACCTAAAGGAAAGGGCAGGGAGACCACTGCGTCCCTGCACACAGACTTGGGAGTTTTGCAGTGTCGGGGAGGGTTTGTTGCAGAACCCAACAGAGGCAAGGCCCTGATTTTGGGATATCTAGAATGGGGAGGGTACCTTCTGGGGGATGATCCAAAGTGAACCAGAGCCTAAAGCGACTGGGATGTCGGGCTTGCAGCTCCTCCAAGTCCTCCCGTAAGATTATGTCCCTTTCAGTCTGAAATGAAGAGAGGCAAAGTCTTTGGGACCTTCTCAGGCCCACGTAACACCTTCCAACCAGGAGAGAAAAAGAATGCTTAGGTTCTAGGGAATAAGCACGACATCTGGGAGTTTAGGATGAGGGAAAGGAGAGGGGAACAGCCCTTATTTATATAGCATGAAGGACTAAAGATAGAAATATTTAACCAAGGTAACCTGAGGAGCAAGTTTTTATGCTCAGGTTCCAAAAATGTTTCTGTTTTTCTTTCCTTGGAGGTCAGAGAAGGAATTTGGCTCAGGGCTCTGTATAGCCAGAGGGTTCTCTATCTACAGGGGGGACCTTGGGCAGAGGGCAGAACAGGCACTGGCCCATTGACGCCACATCTCTGAGGCAACCCATGCAACTGTAAAGTCCCAGGATTGAGAAAAACAAACCAACCTGGTTGGCAAAAAGCAAACAGCACTGGGTTGGATCTTTGGGGTCTTTCAGGATGGCCCGGATCAGTTGAAGCATTGGGGTGATTCCTGCATAGACAGTCCAAAGGGAGACATAGTAGCTGCAGCCCACCTGTCCCAGCTCCATAGCTAACCAACACTTTCATCTGAATGCTTCCCATTCACCCTGCACCCCACTTTCATTCCGTGTCCAAATCCTCCAATCTCCTGTGTATTCTCCAGCACCCGCATTTCTGGATAGGTATACCTCTTACCCCAAACTCACAAAAATTCCCATCTGGTGGGTAAACTGTGTAGTCATGCTCAGTCTTCACATGAGTTCATATTGTTAAAGCCCTTCTTTCAGGTACTGGGGAGCCCTGGGCATTGCTGGGAATCTTTGTCTGAACGTCCCATTGGCTAGGACTCAGATGTCACAGGCACCAACTCAATGTGACAGACCTGAACACTGGCCTTGCAGGTTAAATGTGAGTGCTCTGGAACCTAGAGCTGGATACTAACCCTTTACCAGTGAACCCTGTGGAAACCACTTAACCTCTCTGAACCTGCATTTTCTCATTTGTAAAAGAAGATGGCAAGTACCTTCTTTATAGATACAAACACAAGGAGACTAGTAGGTGTCTAACACATGGAATGTTCACTGTGAATTCTCCTTTTTGACTATCCTTTTTCTAGCTGCTTTCCTATTCTCACCCAAAAATTACAAAACCCATTCAGTGTGAGGTCTTGGGAGAGTGCATGTGAATTACTTTTCATTCTATCAGTTAAAAGATTGTTTTTGGTTTCTACCTGATTATGATTTTGTTTTTCAGGTACTGGGGAGCCCTGGGCATTGCTGGGAATCCCGATTACCAGCTTGGCCATGACTTCAAACCTTTCCAGGGTCACTGGAAAGTTTTCATGGCAACATCAACAATGGTAGGAGAGAACAGCCCCCAAGTAACACATACCTGTCCCGCCAGCGATCATGCCCAGTTTCTTCACCACTCGGGGCTCTGGAGGAGACTTTTTGTTGGGCTGAATGCTAAAATTCCCTGAGAAGTCAAGTACAGAAGTGATGGAAGAGTGAAGTCAATACAGGAAACAAAGAAAACAAGTGCAGAACTGACAATGCATCCCAGGCCAGTTTTAGCAGCTGCAATGAAATCTGACCCTGGAGCCTGGGTGGACGTCTGGGTTGAGCCAACCCTGATAACACACATAAAGGACAATGGGCCCAGGACCACATGGCCTGCATCATTAACTACCAGTCAGTTTAGGCCCACACAGTGAGTCAGCAGCTGTCTCTGGCAGAGAGTCACCCCTAGTGAAGGCAATAGGCCTGGGGCCAGGTATGAATCTATTTTTCCAAGTGCATAGAGGCTTGCTAATGTGCCCAGCTGTTCCCCTGGGAAGGGCTAAAAGCTCTCCCTGGTTCTCTAAACAGCTCTGCCTGAGGATGAATTTGTGAGGCAGGGCTGCTTTACTGATCTCCACAGCTGTTAAGGTTGGCAAATTCAAACGGATGGGGAACTGATCCTGGTGACAAACAGAGCTGAGAAATCTGCCTCTCTATACTATCAGAGCTATGTGTACAGGAAGGGCAGCTCTGGCCCTTCCACACCTGCACATGTGCCCAAAGGACTGTGGGCCTGGAGAACTGCGAGAGGCGCAAGGAGCAGAGGGGGCCATTACCTTTCCCCGTGTAAGTGAGCAACCCACTTGGCCCTCGAAATTCCACCACATCCCCAATCTTCAGGCTGTTCAGGTACTGAGACATCTTCCCTCCCTCAGGAAATTTGGGGTGCACACCCTTCATGTAGACCTGATAAAACAGAAAGGAAAATACTTTATTTGGACTGACACTGATTTCTGAAGCCCTGCTGACTGAGCGTCCCTAAGCTGGGGCCAGGATATGCATGTGCTATCTTTTCCCCAATCCACATACTCTCTTCATATTCACAAAGGACACCCATCTCCTGCTATCCAACAAAAGTTGGGAATTTCTACAAATCCCAGGAAGAGTAAGGCAGGGACCTCCTGGGGTTCCTTCCTACCCTCTTACCTTGATGACAAGATCCACATAGCCCTGGTCTTCATCACTAGTGACAGGAGTGTACGGCCTGATGACCAGGCTGCCATCCATTCGGGCAGAGAGGTAGACATGCTTGCCTGGGGACCATGCAGAGAACTACATAAGGGCGGCTTGTGGACGTGCTGTATTCCAGTCACCTTTCAAAACACCCAGGGAGATTTGAGAGAACAAGGATATCTTGCTTCCCACTGTGGTCCCAATAAGCTACCAGGCAGGGAGGATTCACTTCCTTTGAGTCCCCAGTTGGTTCCCTCTTAAGTGACCCACTGGAGAAGCTCTCAGTTACTACCAGGACCTTGGCAGCAGCAGGTGAGAAAAATTAGTGTTTGCTAAGGGGAGGAAGGAGCAAATCCTGCAGGAAGGAGGAAGGACTGTTGAGTGTTAAAGGTATCTGGGACACAGAAGCCACACCCTATAATGGCCTAGTGGCACCACAGCCTAGAGGATCCAGCCAGGTGAGGAAGAGGAATGGAGTGTGGAGGGAATGGTCTAAAGCAACATGTTTCAGGAGACTAGGTAGGAGAATTGCTCCCTAAGTATACTAAGGAAAGGAGCCCACACTTTCCTTACCCACAGGCAGCCCCAGAGTGTGGTGGGCGGTGGGCAGGGCAAATCGGAACCTCTTGGTGTTGTGGCTCACAGTCTGGAGGATGGATGACAGTGTGTCACCAGGACATCCCAACTGCAATGGATGCTGCAGCTTCGTACCAGGAGCGGAGCTCCGGTTCTACTCCACCCCTCCCACCACAACTCACCGTCTTGTCTATCAGTCGCAGCAGGTACTTTTCATTGGGGTCCAGGAGAGTGACCCGTGGCCGGCGGGACCTCCGAACCAAGTAGGTGCCCAGAGCCAGGCCTAGTAGTGTCAGCAGCCCCGCCCCCAGGGAGGCCAGCAGGCCTGGGCTCTGTGGGGAGAGGAGGCAGTGTGACGGCCCCGCGGGAAAAGTGCCCCGGGCATAGGTGGTGACCGTCCCGTACCACCAGCTGCCCCAAGGGTGGCGACCCCGAGCTCCAGCACGGGAGCAGGCTCAGGCCGGAGGGGTCCCCCTGGGCAGGGTACTGGGACCCCAGCATCCAGGGCGAGGGCGGCGGTGAGGTCCATAGCTGAGTGGTCAGAACCGGATGGAGCGGAGTGCCCCTGGGGCACGACATGCAGCATTGGTCTCACCGGCTGGAACCCCATGACCCAGCACCGCGTCCTCTACGGATGCGCCCTCGAAGCGCTCCCACAATCCGTCGCGTGGCGGGCGGGAGGCGAGGCCTGGAAAGAGCCCGGACTAGGAGGGGCGGGGCCTGACATGGGAGTCCAGAAAAGATGAGGGGCCTTGCGCAAGCGGGAGCGGAAGAGGCGAGTCCAAAAAGGAGACCCCTCGCAAAGGGCGCAAGGCCCCGGAAGAGCTCCGCCGGGTAGGCGGGGCTTAAAAAGGCCGGGGGAGAGGCGGAAGGAGCGGGCCAGGAAGAGGTGAGGCCTAGGGCGGCCCGGAAGGGGCGGGGCCTGCCGGGGTCGACCCGAAGAAGGTGGCACCAGAATAGACGGGCAGGCAGAAGAGGCGGGCCTGAGAGGAGCAGGGAGCCGGAAGTGCGGGGTTTGTCAGCCGCGGGGCCAGGAGGGGCTTGGGGCTGGGGCTGTAAGGGGCGAGGACTGATGAGGAGTGGGGGTGCCGGAAAGGGCCGGTCTGTGTGTGGCCCGGCAAGGGCGGGAGCTGGAATCTGCGGTGCCGGAAGAGGCGAGGCGGAAGGGGCGGGCCCACAGCAGTATGGACTCGGAAAAGGCGGGGCGGAGCGACGACTGGGCGGAAGGGATTGGCGCGAAGGGGGCGGGGCCTGACCCAGAGCGTGGGGGGCAAGGGCGGCGAGGTAAGAGGCCGGGCGCTGGCCGGACTGCCCCTCTCAGGGAGGGCAGTGACTCCTTCCCGGAAAGGCCTCTGCGCGCAGCGCTGATGAGACGAGGCGGTTCCGGGGACTCCCGCCCTCTGGCCCTCGGAAGCCGAGAGGAAGCTGTCTCGTCCCTTCCCGCCAGGCCGTCCTTCCCCAGGAGCAGACGGCTCCGCCGGCCGGGCGGCTGGGTTTTCACCTGTGGCTGCGTGTAACTTTTCACAGTGCTTCCTTTCATCCTCACACAACCCCAGTTCAGGCAGTAACCTACGCGGTCACTCCACGCAGAGTGCCCAGGCCTTGACCAGTTTCTAGCTTTATTTCTTGCCAGCCACGTGGACTGCGTCCCAAGACCCCTCCTCGCCGAGCTCCCGCGCGCCTCTACCTCTCCTCCTCCTCAGGCTGAGTCCAGACCCTGATCTGCCTGATGAGGAGCCAGGAGTCTTGAGAAGCCAGCACCACCAGTCGTATGCAGCTCAGCTGCTCCACAGTGTCTTCTTCATAAAACACCCTCTGGTCCAAGTTTCCCTGCACCAGTGGCCCGAGCAGGGTGTAGCGAGCACAGCCCTCTGCATCCGGCAGGGGGCCGTAGCCCAGCTCCACCTGGCCTTGCTGCAGCCGGTACAGCCCTTGTGTGTCCGAGCCTGTCAGCACCTCTATGCGGATGACCTTCTGTGGCTTTTCCAAAATCACCGTCAGGGTGTTGCCTCTTAAGGGATCCATGGTGGAGTAGCACTCGTCGTTCAGAACATAAGCGTACTGAGGAATCACGTTCGATACTGTCCTCATGTCAGTGAGAACACTGGCTACGGGGTTGTCTGGTTCACCAAAGACCATTTCCTTCTCCACAGGAAAGCAGGAATCCTCGGACGCAGAATAACTGCCCACCCGATAGAAGACTGGGGGACTGAAATGAATGGGAACATGCTGGGCCAGGAGAAGACGGAACTGAGAGAGAAGCAAGTGAGTAGGCGTGTCCTTAGGGAAGAGAAGGAGAAAAGCGGTCAGGCGGGGGAGGTCGCTGGTGTGGAGGACTTTCCCGGAGAAGCTCAGGCTGGAGAACTCCATGATCACCCAGGGTCGCTCTTTCCAGGCTGACAGTGCCCAATAGATAGTAGAAACAAATTTGGGGGTGCAGTAAACATCATCTTCTATCATCAGGAAGTATTCAGAAAGGCTGGTGGCAAAGTTCATAAGGAGGGCGTAATCGGCTTTCTGCCTGGAATAAACAGCTTCACAGGGTGCGGAGTCATTAGTGTGACCCAGATCTCCTGGGACAGGAGAGCCGCTGAGACTACCGTGGATCACGAGCAGCTCCTGGTCTTCAATATGAGGTTGGAAGAGGACTGAAATATTGGTGACCATTTGGCTGAGCCATTTGGGGTCAGGATCTGACAGGTGGACCAGCACCACGATACAGTTCAGCTCAGACACTGAGGAGGCTTCGAACAGGGACTGCAGGGTGTGCAAGAGGGTGCTTCCATGAGGACGCTGCACTGAGGAGATCCCCATCGTCAGCAGTTCTGGGGTGAGGGGACATAGGGCACCATTAGCACTTCTAGGTGGTGATGAGACCCTCCTCCACTCTCTCCTTAATGCTAACACCTGAGAGAAAATCACATTTCCTTTCCCTTGGAGAGTGTGGTCCAGTAAGAGGTTAATCTCTGCTCAGAGGCTGTGAGGTAGTTTTATTTGATCACTACTTTGCAAGGCTGTTGGGGGAACGTTTGTGAAGGACAAGACTCTCTGATGGGGAGGCTGTCACGTACCAAAGGGAAACGCTGGCATGGCAAATTAGCCTGGCGTTCACCTCAGACCTGGAGGAACCTGAGGGCTCTCGCAGTCCAGTGCCCAGTGAGTTGGCACCCACCACGCTTGTCTCCCTCTGGGTCCTCTCCCAATCTCGTCTCTCAGCCTGACCTCCCACCCATGTACTCACTCTTCTCCTGGGGCCGGGCTCCAGCCAGGACTTTGTAGTTGGCTTGCTGGAGCACAGGGGAGCTTCTCTGCATCTCCTTGAAGGTCTCCAAGTGGTTCTTGCTTTCAGAGCTGATTTGCTCCTGATTCAGCTGCTGCAGTATTTTCTTCTTTTCCTCCTGCTGAGGATGGATAAGCATCAGCCCTGAGCTTCACCCCAGCTCCTCTGGAGACAAAGGAGGACAGGCTGGGAAAGCCCCAGGATCCAGTCACCAGTGAGCCTGAGTGTTGGGGCTTAGTGAAGTGCTGTCTCCACCTCGTCATGAGTACAAACGTGGCTCTGGAAGGGGTGGTAGCCCAGGGGTCAGGGAAGTGGGGCACTCCAGTTCCATGTGGCTTCCTGTGGCAAGGTCTCAGGCTTCTGCAGAATAAGAACCTGCCTATCCCACCTTGCCTCATGTCTGATTTCTCCACCACTACAGGCTGGCAGAGCACCTGACTCTGCTTGGACTATGCGGGGTGCTGTGACAGCTGCTGAAGACCAAGCTGTCTTGTCCTTAAGGAATCGCACACAGTGCCTCAATTCTAAAGCCCTTCCTTTGCTCAGTTCTGACTGCACACTTCCCCACACCCATCTCACGCTCTGATCTAGCTGGTTTGAGGCATGTAGAGAGGACATGGACCCCAGAACCTGAGCCTGCCCCCCTCTACTGCAGCCGTGCATGTGGGAGGAGTCACCTTGGGGCTCCGAGTCTCTGTCCCTACAGGGAGAATGGGAGGGCACCGTCTCCCCCATGGTGAGGACAGTGGCAGCAGCACCAGGCAGCTCCTAGCACGTGGGGCCTGCCAGTCAGCACGGCCATCCAGGTCTACACAAGGCTCTCTCGACACTTAAAATGCCCTCTTCCTCTCTTCTTCTAGTCAAATCCTATCCATATTAAACACTGGTTTAATATTTATCTTTTTTTGACTCTCTCCCAAATCTTCAAGTGCCCTCTTCTTAAAACTTCTATGGTAATACTAGAGTGTTTACATAACTGGAAAAATTTCCACCCTGCTGAAGTGTTGGCAAGTAGTCCAGCCTCAATTTCTGGCACTTACCAACGACACGCTGTACTCAAGATGCTTCTTCTTCTTGTCCTGGAGGAAGAAGCTCAGGGAGATGAAGAACACAGCCACGATGGAGTATTTCCATAAGGGCATGGTGCTGGGCCCGGCAACTAGGCAGGAAGTGAGCAGGTGCTGGGCCCTGAGTGAGAGAAGTCAGAGACGTCCTCCTGTTGCCTGAGGCCTCCCCTCCCTTCCCGCACCCTTTCTCCTGGACACTTATGCCAATTTACTTCCTTTCCCTTTTCCACCCACTTCGACGACAACCCCCCCACCCCCCACCCCCCATAACCATCTAAGGAGAGACAAAGGTCACGGAGTTTGGTTCTGGTTCTAGTCAGCCTCTATCTTCTTCACCTCCTGTCTGGGTTTCCAGGTGAAACTGGAGCAGTGTCTTTGGTTTATCCACTCTTGGAGTAGAGGTCCCACCAGGGAGGATGTGTTGCCAAGAAGAGGAAATCAAGGATTAGGTGTTAGGCACACCCGTCCCTAAACTCAAACTCAAGCAAAAGTCTCCATTCAGGAATTATTTTGGACAGATTACAAGGTTTGGGGTCAAGTCCCAGGGACCAAGGGAAACTCCTGTACGTCTCCCCAACCCTGGACTGGTAGGAAGGATGGAAACCTAGAAGTGACTGGAAATTTCTAATCCTGCAGAAGTCTTGACCATGTTTGCAGAGCCACAGTGATTGGAGGTTTTTGTCTAACAGAAAATGTGGCTTGATAAACCATCAGAGAGTAGGGATTTCATTGAAATCAAAGAGAAAAAAACTTTAATGTTGCAGGATGGGGGTCCAGAGTGCTCCTCTGAGGTAGCAGAAACTAGTCACCCTCCCAGGAGACCCTGCCTGACAACCATTGTTCCCCCTGAATGGGGGCTGCTCACATCAAGCACCTGTTTCTGGCTACTGTGGGAACAAGGTTTAAAGCCAGCTTTCCAGTCTTATCTCAACCCAGAAGCTGGAACTTAACTGTCAGTTTGAATCAAATTGACAAGCGTGGATATTGAGTGATCCCTTCCCCTATTAGAGGGCCCCATAGATAGTTTTTGGAGGAACCATCCGTGTTATAGGATATCCAGTTATAGGATAAATAAGTAATTTAGATGTGTGTTCATCATTATTCAGTTCAAAATAATTTCTAATTGCTGCAATTTCTTTTTTGGCCCATGAGCTATTCAGAATTGTTGCTTAACTTCAACGTTTATGCATTTTCTAGATATATAATTATTTGCTTCTACTTTTATTCCTTTTTGGTTAGAGAGCATATTTTATATGATTACAATCCTTTAAACCAAGGTCACCTTCCAATACTCTTGTAGTTATCACACAAGATTAGTGGAAAGTTTTCCTACCTCACCCCAATCTTGACTTTCTGGCTTCCCCTTCCAGATAACTACTTGAATTTGAAGCAGATCTGGCTTCTCTGGTTTGTCTGTCAGTCTTGTCCTTGCCACTGTTTTGTCACCCCCTGGCCGAAAGGAGATGCCATTTTGGCTAACTATGCTCATCACTCTCTTGTCTAAACAAGCCCTGGCCTGGGGCCTGGCCCTGACTGGCCTCATGGCCCAGGCAGCCTTCATGGCAAATTGCCAATCTTTCCCATAAAGCCACAATTTTCGTTCTTTGCGAGCTGTTCCCTTGCCCCCATCTGGACCTGAGCCTGAAGTTTGGCTAACTTCTGTTTTTTTTAAAATCCTCACCCAAGGATATGTTTTTTGACTGATTGGTTGAATAATTGCAAAGTATCGACCTGTTGTGCCCCAACTGGGGACTGAACCCGCAACTTGGGCATGTGCTCTGACTGAAAGTCAAACCCACAACCTTTTGGTGCATGGGATGACACTCCAAATAACTGAGCCACCTGGCCAGGGTTGGCTACTGTCTTGATTGGCACTGTTGGTACATCTACAGCCAGGCTGGGTCTGCAGCAGCACCAGTAGGAAGAGCAGTGGCTGCCTCGGGCGAAACAGAGCCTAACCCTTTTCTTAAATAAATAGCATCTATTTCCTTTTTTGTTTAAAATAGATCTGGTGGAGTCACCCAGTTTTGTATCACAAATTCACGCCATCTCTGAGCTGAACCTCTGTGCTTGTGCAGATTATGTTCTGCACAGGGGAGTGGCAGGAACTAAACCCACCATTAGAAACCCTGGCGTGGGGTCTTCACACCGGGAGCCACCCACCTTGGGAAGGAGTGCCTTTTAGTTTTACAGAAGTGCGCTATGTACTGGCAGAGTCCACCCCCAATCCCATACCAAGACGGAATCAGATGTGCAAGGGACTTG